TCATCTTTTCTTTCTGGTCATTTCATAGTAATCTCTAGTAATTGTACCCCAATCCTTGTAGTTATAGCATGAACATTTTCCTTCATTGACTTCTTTCAAAGTTTTTGGGGAATGGAAGTGGAGGTACATATGCTTTAACTTTTACAGGAGCTCTGGGTTGATCGTTTTCCACTACTCTTATTGCCATCACTTACTCTTTAGGATTGTATTGCTTGGCAATGATCCCTGTGGATGTTCTGCAAGTTGTTGAGCTATCTGACCAATCTGTGTCTCCAACTTTTTGATAGATACTTGCTGATTATGAAAATTAGTATTAATCTATTGGAATACTTTGTCTGTTTTCTGCACATATTGATGAAACATCTTCCACAAACCTGGTTTGTTCTCCTGTTAGGCATTATTTGAACTATTCCCTTGTTCATTATCTGACCATCCAAAATTCGGGTACTGTCTCCATCTTGGGTTATATGTTTGCGAATATGGCTAAAATTGCGGGAGCTATTCTTGAATGGAGTTGACTTGTTCTTCAGGAAAGCCCATAAATATACAATTTTCTGTCAAATGGTTGGCTCCACAATTTTCACATGATGGAGCACCCATAACTGTATGTGCTCATCTCGTTTTTGATTTTACCAAAAGCTCTACATGCTTTGTCAAAGCTGCTATCTACGCGTTGGTAGATGCTATGCTATCTAATTCATACATCTAAGATGCATTCGGTGGTACCACTCTTTTTGATGAAAACATTGAATGTGTAGTGTCAATTAACTCAAATAAATCCATGGTTTGTTGTACTAATTTTCTTATGATCGATTCACCAGTAGAAGAATCCACCTGAGATTTTGATAGTGGCGAGAGTCCGGTGTAGAAGTACTGCACTTGATTACCTATTATGATTCCATGATTTGGACACTCTCGTATCAGATCTTTGAATTGATCCATGCTTCGTGATAGCTATCTTCATCTTTTTGATGGAAAGTTTGAATTTTCAATCTGATTTTAGCTACTTTCGCCGGTGGGAAGAATTTGTTGTAGAATGTTTTGGTGAATTCTTCCCATGTAGTAATGCTTCCCTGAGATTCAGCATCTAACCACTCCAATACAGCATCTCTCAGTGTATATAGAAAGAATCTTAATTTAATAGCGTCTTCATTAACCCCCCGGAACATAAAAGTTTTGACAATTTCTGAGAAATCTGGAGATACATGTGTTCAGATTTTCATGAGGTAACCCGTAGAAGTAGAGAGTGTTGCTCATCAAATTGATCCACTTTGCCCTTATTTGAAAATTATTTACCCCGTAATCTGGATATACAATATTGGAGCACCCAGGCACGGCTATAGGCGTAAAAAATATTGAAACAGGCAAGTCTCATTCATTTATTTCCCCTCACTCTTGTTACTGATCCAATGGCGTCGCTACTCTTGTGTTCACTTGTACAATTGGCTTAATAGGAATAGAAATATTTTGATTGTTAGCCATTTCATGTTACTGTTTTTGTTTGGGTCCTTTGTCTAAAAGTATGCTCTATTTTCGAGTCAAACGGTTCAAGATCGTTACCTTGGATACGAAATATACAACGAACACTTTTTTCCATAAATAAAAGAAAATAAACAAATCAAATAGCATTTAAAAATAAAATAAACTAAGACTTGAAATAGGCAAGTCTCATTCATTTATTTTCCCTCGCTCCTGTTGCTGATCTAGTGGCCGCTACTCTTGTGTTCACTTGTCCAATTGGCTTAATAGGAATATAAATATTTTGATCATCAGCCATTCAATATTGCTGCTTTTGTTTTTGTTCTTTGTCTGAAAGTACGCTCTATTTTCGAGCCAAATGATTTAAGATCGTTGCCTTGGGTACGAAACATACAACGAACACCTTTCTCCGTAAATAAAAGAAAACACATTTTTCCGTAAATAAAAGAAAATAAACAAATCAAATGACATTTAAAAATAAAATAAACTAAGATTAAAAGTAAATAGTTAACCAAGAGGGAGGGGGGTGAATTGGTTTTTAAAACTTTTTCGAGAAATT